GAAAGGGAATGGACTGACTATTCTTGTGGGGGAAAGGGGTGTGTGGGGTTCGGGAAGATATTGGACAATAATTGTGAACCTATGGATGAGGACAGTGTGTGGGGAGTGAGCGCGGAGGGGGGGATGGGAACTGGGAGGAGGGGAGTTATGGTGGGAAAAAAGAGGAACAAATGTAATAATCTGAACAATAAAGATTTAATTTAAAAAAAAAGAAATATAGTAACAAATATGATCTCATACAAAAAAAAACAGTTCTCAACCCGTGGGTCGCGACCCCTTTGGGGGTCCAACGAGCCTTTCACAGGGGTCGCCTAAATACATCCTGCATATCAGATATTTACATTACGATTCATAACAGTAGCAACATTACAGTTATGAAGTAGCAACGGAAATAATTTTATGGTTGGGTCACAACATGAGGAACTGTATTAAAGGATCGTGGCATTAGGAAAGTTGAGAACCACTTAAGGTAAAACCGCTCTCCCACAGCTATCTCGTTACTTTCTCATACACTCCTCTCCACTACACCCAGTTCATTCATACACAAGACCAGTCATGGCATACATTACACACAGCATCTCCGATGAGAACTGCACACAAACATTTCTCTGCCAGTTACCACTACAATTAATGGTCTAATCAGTGCTGAACCTAGAAGACTTTTTAATTATCATTGTTTAAAGTATTGCATTATCTCCTTTTTCCCCCGACTGACCGCCCCCCTCCGCCATCCCCGCCCCCAGGACAAGCCCGCCTGACCCCTGTCCATGTCCATTGGTTATGCTAACATGCATGCACACAAGTCCTTCGGTTGTCTTCTAACTCTCCTCACCCGTCTTCTGAGGCTGGATGGTCTGATCAGTGTTTCTTAGTCTCTGGATCTATTTTTGTTCATCAGTTTATGTTGTTCACCGAGAAGACTTTAAAAAGACAAATTTCCCTAAATTGAGATCCCTGAAATACTTGACCCATCCCAGAATTAAATTTGGTTTTAAAATGTTTGCACCTCAGACTGAGAGTTCTGCGGAGGAATAGACCTTAGAGGTCTAGGTCTCTAGGAAGCCTACAAGTGGGGAGGAGTGGGACCCAAATGTCCCAAAACTAATGGAGAAACAAAATGTGGTATATCCCTACACCTGAGTATTATTAATGTTATCCAGCCATGAAAAGACGTGACGTACTGACACATGCTACAATATGGATGGCCCTTGAAAACATTATACCGAAATAAACTCGACACAAAGAACAAATATTATATGATTCCACTTTTGTGAAATATCTAGAACTGGCAAATTCACAAAGACCAAAAGATTGGTGAGGCTGGGGTAGGGGTAATGAGCAGTGCCTACTAATGAGTTCCAGGTTTCTTTTTAGGGTGATTGAAGTGTTCTGGAATTTGACAACGGTGGTTTTACAACCTTGTGAATATACTAAAAACCACTGAATTGTTCTCTTTAAAAGGATAAATGTAATCATAAATGGATTGTATCTCAATTGTTTAAGAACAGGTCTAAAAGGCTGAATACGCGGCTACACCGAGTGTCATTCCTTCCAAACTGCAGCCTCTCCTTTCCGCTCCGCCCGGCATTGACACACGCTTCCGCAGCCTCCCCACTGCCCACAAACTGCCGGCCGCGGCTCGTCTCGGCCGCACGGGGAGGGCCGCGGCGAGCAACAGGCTGCCACCCCCCCGGGGCGGGGTCCTGGGGCTGCGCCACGTGAGCTGGTGCACGTTCCCGGTACCCCTGTCCCTCCTAACCAAACTCTCAGAAACCGTGATCCTGAACCCCTACAGGACGTTACTACACGCCCCGGACTCAGGGTGACTCTGCCTGGGATCCGCAGTTCGAGCTCAAGCCCGATCCCTGTGCTCACGAGGACTCGAGCCGCCCCAGCTCCACAACCCTAGCCGGAGCCACCCCCTGGGCGTCATCCTCCCCACTTACGCGCCTCAGCAGCGCGCGGTGCACGAAGGGAGCTCGGTCTAAGCTAAATGAAGGGGGAAGGGAGTTTAGATAGAGCCGCGCAGAGGAGTCTGGGAAGAATGTGCAAGGGAACTCTGGGAAGAAGGTCCTAATCGAGAGCAAGGCCAGGGCGGAGCCAGGAAGAATAGGAGGAGAAGCCGTAAATCAAAAAAGGAAGGGGAGAAGAGCCGCAAAGCAATCTGCCGAAAGCCGTAAAGTAAGCTGGAAGCGCGACGCCGATCTCTACATTCTTAGTCTCTTATTGCTCCATCCAGTCCCTCCACCGCCCCCTCAGGTTGTGCGGCGCCCGGATCTCTGCTGCCCCCTGGCGGGCCGATGAGCTCGCCCGGGACATGCACTTAGACTAAGAGCCTCTTAGGGCCCATGCTTTCCGTGCCTTCCTGCAAGACTGCACAAACCCATTCCCGGATTGGAATGCAGCAGTGCGGCGGGGAGGAATTTCTCAATACCTATCCGTGCTCACTACGGATATGGCAAGGAAAGGAAAAACATGCTTTCAAGTCTTATTAAGAAATGGTTATCAGAGCCCTTCATAGATACCCCCCAGACAGGTATAACAAACCGGGCACACCCCCAATTATTACCTGATAGCTTCTCTTTTTTTTGGTATAATAATGTTACATGCAATAAATATTAATATTTCACGAAAAACTATTTTAAATATAATAATGTTACATGCAATAAACAATCTTTCAAGAAAAATGATTTTAAATATAATATTACCAAAAATGTACTAACATTGTATAATATCACAAAAGTTGTAGGAAATATTAAAAATCTGCAAAAACAGGATTACTTCTATTCTAAAATATTTTTTTCCTCTAGCTGAATTTTGGTTCATCAGTTTATGTCGTTCATTATATTCCACAAATGAGTGAGATCATGTGATATTTATCTTTCTCTGATTTGCTTATTTCGCTTAGCATAATGCTCTCCAGGTCAATCCATGCTGTTGCAAATGGCAAGAGTTCCTTCTTTTTTATAGCAGCATAGTATTCCATTGTATAGATGCACCCTGATGGCTTCTTAAGTTAGCTAGGACCGGAAGGAAATTACTCTGTGGCTACTTGTGCGGAGGGGGTTCTTTAGAATGTCCCTTGGAACTGTGCCTTGCCATTGAGTGATGATTGCACATCCTATTTGCAGCGCTCAAAATAAGATCAAAAAAATTTAGACATCACATCCCTAAATTAAATACTAAGAACACAATAATTCACTTATGTTTTCAAATTGGTTGTTTCAATAAACCCCTTTTAATTATACTGTTCATTGTCTGGGTAGAAATACTTCAGGGCAAGTCATTTCCTGGATGACTACTATCGAGTAACACTATCTGAACCTGACTAAAGAGCCTAGAATCAGGGCCAATGCATAAATAATTTATTTGATAAAAGGGGCATTTCAAGTCAAACAATAAAAGAATGCTTACTTTAAAGTGGTGTTGGGGTATATCAACTCAGCCTCTACAGATTCTGCCCCCACCCTCTTTACTGGGTGTTTGGTGTTTCCATTGTTTGGTTTATCTATTGGTTCTGTGGTGTTACCCCGCCCCCCTCTCTCTCTCTTTCTCTCTCTCTCTCTCTCTCTCTCTCTC